CCGATGAGCGGGGTGTCCAGTGCGGAGCCGGTGCCCTCATCGCCGAAGTCGCTGTCGAAGATCTTCTTCTTCTTGGAGTTGATGGCCGAGAAGTGGTGCAGGATCTGCCCGTGCATGGCGACCGAGGCGTTGTCGGCATGCTTGTCCACCGACAGGGTGCCCCCCCCAGCGAGGGGGACCGTCTCGACCGAGTGGTCATCCGAAGAGTGGCCGCCCTCCAGCTGCGAGGAGGACGTGTCGATCGAGGACAGCGAGTCGAGCGACATGCCGACCGGGGGAAGCTGATTCGGTTGGCGCGCGCGCGCAAAAAGAGGGGGGGGGCGCGCGCGTCAGTGGCCGGAGCCGCCCTCAAGAGGAGAGCAGGGGATGGGCGAGGTCGATGCGCACCGTCTTGGGCGTGGGGCCGGCGCCGGCGTCGGCGTACAGCGGCGCGTCGTTGAGCTTGGCCGACGAGTAGGCCGACACAAGGCTCTGGGAGGAGGGCGAGGTCTCCAGATAGTCGGGGCTCTCCTCGGAGGAGGCCGGCTGACCAAGGTCAGGGATGGGGATGGCGGTGGCGGTGGCGGTGGTGCTCATTTGCTCGGGAGAGGGGGGGAGCAGGCGGCAGGGAGCAGGGGAGGGTGATGTGTGCGTGTGCGTGTGTGTGTGTGGGGGGGGGGTGCTCAGGAGGGAGGGGAGGAAGTTTTCGTCTTTCGGTCTCCCTCCCTCGAGTGCGGCCCGGCCAATGTAACGGGGAGGCAGGCAGAGACACAGGTGGGGAGGGGAAAGAGGTGGAGTATGTGCGTGTGTGCGTGCGTGCGTGCGTGTGTGCGGAGTAGAGCGGAGTGGTGGTGGGGGGAGGGGGTGAGGGGAAGAGGGGCGGTATGCGTGAAGGTGAACGAGCTGCTCGGCCGGCGGGTCCCTACTCTTTAATCGGATGTCGGCCGGGGGGGGGGGGGGGGGGGGGATCTGCCGCCATGGCCGACTGCCGCGGCAGGGCCGGCTGAGGGCAGGGGAAGCGTGATCGCCACCCGATGCCAGGAGGGACGGCAATGGGGGGGGAGGGCGGGGGGGCGCGGCAGGTCGCCGGGAATGAGCAAGGACTGGCCGGATCCCGCCCAGGTCCACCGGCCGGTGTGTGCCGTGCGTCTTGCGCGAAAGGGCGGGGTGGGGGTGGAATGTGTCGGATCGCCTTTGCTCCTGCCGGGGGCTCTCTCTCTCTCTCTCGCGGCAGGGATGCCCGCGGCCGGTGGGAGCACACGCCATGTAAGCGTGCGATTGCTTATTCGTCTGCAAAGGTGTATATCTAAGAGCGTGGCCGGGGGGTGATCACAGAATGCAGGGAGCCGGGGGGGGGGGTGGACATGCCAGAGGGCCGGATCGCAGCTCTGCGGCGGCTCCGAGACGCGTCGCATCCGCAGGCAGCCAGGTCCCCTGAGCAAGCGCCCCGCCAGAGCGCCCGCCGGCCCGCGTTCTCCCATCCACACCGAGGCCGGGCGAGG